CAGAGCGCTTTTGGCTAAAGCTCTTTTTGGAAAAGTTAACTGTTAACTGCTTTCGAGTATGATAGACAATTTTGAACTGGTTGCTAGAGAATATATGTAAATATAGTCGAACATCAGATTAAGTAAATATGTTGCTAATTCCGAAATGATATACAATATAGAATGTACAATCTACAGGTGCATAGTTCGTGCCCAACACCACAAATGCTTTTAGCATGCTAACATATATGTATATATGTATATAAACAGTTGAGGAAGGGTATTTACCTTGATCCAGGATTCCAGGCTCTTGCCATACTTGTTTTGGAATGCTTCCTTGATATCTCCCAGATCAATCTCGGAGCGGCTAACAATGATGCGTATCAGCGTCTTGTCCTTGGTGCCCAAACCGGCCATCGCATCATGCAGACGCTCAGAGAAATAGTCAATCTTGGACTTGCAGCACTTGACTGAGCAATTCAATATATAATATATATTATATGAGTACATGATGAATCATTATCATAGTTATAGAGATGACTCACCAATGGCCAGGAAACCCTTCTGTACAGAGCCGCTAAACTCCCGCTTGATGGCAGTCTCGATGTCGTTTCCGGTGAGATTCTCGTATTCGATTAAGATCTGACGCAGCTGCTGATACGGCCGGGTGATCAGAATTGAGTTGAAGGTGGACTCATCTGTGCCCCACTTGCCCTCACCGGCATCATACAACGCCTGGGCATCGGCAATGGCGGCCGCCTGATCAACACCCTGGTTTTCATCCCGATTGCCCTGCACCAGCGAGACGCACAGACGCTTGAAATGGCCGCTGGTATCGCCCTTCAGATCGGACTCTAGGGACTTGCCGAAGCTCTGCTCGTAGAACTGAGCAATTGTCTTGATGCCATAGTTGGACAACGTGCACAATATCTCAATGATGGCCTCCTCATCGGTGCCCACGCCGGAGATGGCATCGTGCAACTCTTGTGCATAGAACTGGGGCAGCGGCGTCATCAGTGCCACAATCACATCCTCGAACTTGCCGCCCAATTCGGACTTCAGGTCCGAAATCAAGTCCTTGCCATAGGCAGTCTTAAAGGCCTCAGCGATCTCTAGGCGCTGGACGATTCCGCGACGGGCGAGAATCTCGATGATGGCCTTCTCATCCGTGCCGAAGCCCTTCATGGCCTTGCGCAGAATGGCGGCATCCTCAACGGGATCGAAGGGATCAGCGGGGTAAACGGTGGGTGTGCACTGCGAATAGAGGAATGAGTAAACATTGCATATAAATAAATCTTCTGGCTAATGCAATGAATACGTAATCAATCCAGAAATATTCATGAATAATCGTGCACTTAAATGCGGGTACAGCACGTACTCTACAAACAATTGACTCAACAAAGTTTCCTTATAAATGTAATTCGAGGTTCACGCACTTGATTGTGCCCACGTATTCATATCCAGAAATATTGTAAAAATTCTATTCATATGCAAGGTTTGATTACTGTATTAACAAATATATTAGCTTTCTATAATTCAATAGGCTCTTAAATTTTTTGAGAGCTATATATTTCTTATCGGACTGTTTAAAATATTTATAGGTACATATGTACTACAAGATTTGTCACGTAGAGCACTCGAAACAAATCGATTAAATGTAATACAATTAATTATCAATAATTATCAATAATTGCGTCTATTCGTCAATCTACGTCTAGCGATGTTCAAAACTGATGTATTATGTATTGTCACTCACCTTGAATGGATAGTACTCAGCGGAGCTCATTATTGCTTCTTTTTAAGTTAGTTTTGGTAGTTATTTAAGATCTGTAAATGCAAAGCAGACAAGGAAAAACATAATTTATAATGATCTAATGATTAAAGTCGAGGCGCGTTGATTACAAAGGGAGGCCTTTGGCAATTGGTATGCGACAAGGCCGCGCTATACATAAAATAGCTATGGGAATGTTCAGAAACCTGCTGCCAGAATGACATCACCAAATATGAGGGGCAAAGCTGCCGTTCCGTGCCGTGCTTCATGTTTGCGGCTATTACGCATACGCCTCGCAGTATTTGTGGCGCCACAAAAAAATCGACATGCTTTTGCTTTCCTATGCAGCTATTTTTTATAGAGGTCAACGAACAAAGTTAGAGTGAAAGTTTTAATACAAAAAATGGCCTGGGCCTAGCGTTAGTTGATAACTTTAACATTTGTGGGTGCAGCCAACGTTGCGTATGTGTAAAAGTACGTTTTCTATGGATACCAAACCAACCGGGAGCTCGGATGAGCTCATTCTTTGTATGCTATAAAACATGCTGAAAATATTCAATATTCTACATATTTTACTTGTCGCTCGCTCTAAATTTAAACATAGAAAGTAACTGCTTTTTATATGACCAAGTAATTGATAGATTACACAAAAACAAATCGCAACGGCAAAAAAAAATCGTCTGCTCAAGTTGCAAGCGTGGAAAATCAACAAAAACAAAAGAGAAAAAAAAATGACGTGGCAGTGTTCAAAAACCACTACAACTACAACTACGCCTCTTCACAGCTACAAATAAAGAAAAAAATATTTTGTCTGTTTCCAAATGTTGGCGCTGGAACCGGTTCAAATTTAGTTTTACATGCACGACAGACACGCACTCACACATATAAACATTTGTTTGTCTGTTTCTCTTTTGAGCTATAAATTAGCATGCTATTGTGGAACACGCATCAAAAACAAAAAACAAAATTGTCTTGGAATATTTGGGAAAGTTGTTTGGAATGCGTAATAACAACGCTGATGTCTCATTCTAGGCATTTTCACAAATATGTATGCGAGTTAGCTGTATGGATTGAATTCTAATTATAATGTTATTAATAGTCGTACATTCATATGATCACAACTCATCTCATTGAGACTGCGTTCGTGAATCATAATGGGCATGGGCTGATTGGCAAGCGCGCCTTAATGTGACGTCAAACGTGGCTCGTTGTGCGGGCGAAGTGCTTCGCAAACAGAGCATAAGACTGGAACTGGATGTTCTGGAAAGTTGTTTATGAACCGTAATGTTTAGCGTTATTTATTCACTTATTTTTGCAACATATAGATTTTTTTATGTAGCAGTTAAGACCTCGTGACCTGGTAGAAAATGTGTGAATAAATTTAGCTTATAACATTGTGTTGTGGCTGACTGACTGTACCTTTGAAGTTATTATTATTTTTTTTTTTTGCTGTTTTAATTTGTTACATTTTTCTACTAGCAGGTTTAAGCCTTCATGACGCACCTTATAAATGCATGCAATTATATCAAACGTGTTTGTTTTGTACCGAATGCTTTTGCGCTTTACATGTGCAAAGGTTTTACTGTGGTCAACGCAGCCTCGCTAAAAGCAATTGAGTTGATTGCCACTGAAGATAGCAGAAAAAAGATGGAAGCTCTAAGTAGATAAATTCAATTATAATTTGCCAGTGAAACGTCTATCAAGTACACACACACATATATATGTACATATTATGTACATACGTACATAATACATATGTATATGTGTAATTGAAGGAAACGTTTGCTGGAAAAGTCACACGCGTCTGCGAATGATCAGACATACTGAGACCTACAGAGAGAGAGAGAGAGCGAGAAAGAGAGCGCGTGCTAAGAGAACTTCAAAGCGCTAAAGTTCGGGCAGCTTCAGTTGAGCACTTGATGATGTCATCTTTTTTTATCCAAATCAGTCTACCAAATTTATATGTACACATACACACTCATGTAAATTCGTTGTAAAAGTATACTCCTGTGTTTATATACGTTTGTATGTTTATTTGTACTATGCAAAATAATACAATTATTATAATACAATTATTATTAGTCTATACATATTTTGAAAACTTCTTATCTGCCGCGCCCAAAAATTATTATAATGTTAAAAACATTTTATTTATACACTTTGTTTGCACTCTTAATTACTTTTCACTTGAATTTCTTGTTCACTTCAACCTTAGCAGATACGACAGTGTGCCATTTATGTGTGTGTATATGTACATGCATGCATATATATTTATATATGTATGAAAAGACACAGTGAAAATAAACAAAATAGTAACTAGAGAAGAATGCCAAAAATTTACCAAGTGATATTCTCAAACGTACAAAGTGTGGTCCGTTAAACTTTGCGAACTCTTAGCGATGTGAAATAAATACTGAACTCGCTGCTCGGTGCTCAGCTGGTTTTATATGCGCTGCTATAACCGGCGAATCGGATCTGAGAGTAATTGCAAAGAGCGTAACGGTGCTGTTATAGTGTAGGTGTGGTCAGGGCTGCACAGAATAGAGCTTATGATTTTTTTAGTTGCTCTTTTAAATTAAGATGGATTTCTCAAGCAAAGTAAGCAAATAGATTTTTTTTTTTTTAATTATAACATAAAGTATAATAATAATAATTAAAAGTGAATCAATAAGTAGTTATCCTATTTGAGGAGCCCTGGTAATTTTCTCGCAGTAAAAGTTTAAGAGAGTTAAAAAGGGAAGAGCGAATAGCAGACCCATAATTACGTCATGATATTATAATCAAAAGTTCTCTTAATTATATATATGTATATATTGTGGGTATATTTGCATGTATGTTTGCAGATGTATGACTTATTTTGTTAGAAACTCGTTTGCTCTTGCTATTTTAGATCTAGGCTTCCGACTCATACATACATATGTATATGCAGATATAATAATATATGTATATAGCAAATAACTACAATTACGTCAAACAGCAATGCGTGATTCATAAGAGTGGAAGCTGAAAGTGACTGATAATGATCTTATTAGTTAAAGATAAAAAATATTTTGTAATAATGCGTTGTGTACTGAAAAAAGAATATTTTTGTGAATATTTTATTCGTGGTCATTTAAACCGTTACCGCGCAATTTGTATTATATCGCTGTTCAACACTGATTTTGCGGTGGACGATGTAGTTCACATGAGCGAAAAGAAATCGATTTCTCAAGTTCGATTAGTCAGCCGGTTCATTAACAATAGCTCTTTCGTTTAGTGCATTGCATTTAAATTAATTGTTTAAAGCTTTAGTTTTTCCAATTTAAAAGTGTTTAAAAATTAGCTAGCTGCCGTGCAACCCTTTTAATATATTTAACACATGTAAGTTACATGTAGAAAGGCAGCCATTCAAATTCCTCAGAACCAGCCCCTCCCTACACTATAATTATTTTTCGAAGACAAAACCTGTCATTGTTTTTATCTTTGGTGCCAACGTCGAATGTAGATAAGAAGTAGCCATTATGTGGAAAGCAACAGCCGGCCATCAAATACAGGCAACTAGCGCCGCCGAAGACGATGACTGGGAAACGGATCCTGATTTTGTCAACGATGTCAGCGAACAAGAGCAAAGATGGGGCTCCAAAACAATTGATGGCAGCGGACGTGACGGGGGCGGCGCTATTGAGTGAGTCATATATATTTAGGTCATTGCACCATTCAAAAATCTTGATATTAACATTAAAAATGAAACTCAACAGCATGAACAAACTGCGCGAGGAGACGGAGAAGTCGGATTTGAATAAGAAGAAACAATTGCTAAAGGATCAAAATGCTGGCTATGGATACGGCGGTAAATTTGGCGTTGAGAAGGATCGCATGGACAAGTCGGCGGTTGGCCATGATTATCAGGGCAAAGTAGACAAGCACGCGTCACAGGTGGACTATAGCGAAGGTTTCGGTGGTAAATACGGCGTGCAAACAAATCGCGTGGACAAATCTGCCGTGGGTTGGGATCATATCGAAAAAGTGGAAAAACACGAATCCCAAAAGGGTACTTTGTTAGAACTAAACTATATAACATAACTTATAACTATGCGCTTTTTGCAGATTACTCTAAGGGCTTTGGAGGAAAATTTGGCGTGCAGGAGGATCGCAAGGATAAATCGGCATTGGGCTGGGATCATATCGAAAAGGTTGAGAAGCACGAGTCGCAGAAAGGTATGTTTCTGTTAATTTTTGTTAAAACTTACTGACTTTGATCCATTTTAGACTACTCTAAGGGCTTTGGTGGTAAATTCGGCGTACAGGAGGATCGCAAGGATAAGTCTGCCGTCGGTTGGGATCACATTGAGGCACCACAAAAGCACGGCAGTCAAGTGGATCATAAAGTCAAGCCCATTATTGAGGGTGCGAAGCCCTCAAACTTACGTGCCAAATTTGAGAACTTGGCGAAAAACTCTGAGGAGGAATCACGCAAACGTGCCGAAGAGCAGAAGCGTTTGCGCGAAGCTAAGGACAAGCGAGACCGCGAGGAGGCAGCCAAGCAAACGGTTGTCGAAAACACGCCACTACCATCTGCCGAAGAGGCACGTACGCCGCCGGTCAAGGGCAGTCGCACAGCTATACAGACGGGACGTTCCGGTGGTATTGGCAATGCCATCAGCGCATTTAATCAAATGCAGTCGCCGGTAGCTGAAACGCCGCCGGCACGAAAAGAACCAATTGTCATACCGAAGGAGCCGGCGCCCGTGGAGTCAGCAAAGCCTTCCGTGGTTGAGCAGCCAGCGGCTCCGATAGCTGCTGTTGCTAAAGAGGTTCCGGCTGCAGCCGAGCCGAAAATTTCTGCACCACCACCAGATGTGGTGCCCCAAATTGAGATAGAGACTGTCGCCACGCCACCATCAAGTGAGCCCCAATCGCCAGCTCACGTCGCAGCTGTGGAGCAAACACCCGAGCCACATTCGCAACCGCCGGTACAGGTGCAATCCCAGCCAGAGCCCCAGGCGGAGCTGGAGCAGGAGCCGCTTTATCAAAACCAGGCAGAGCTGAAATCGGTGTCCCCATTGCCAGCTGCTCAATCGTCAATACCAGCAGCAGCCTCAGCGGCTGCAGCTAATGGCACATCGGAGGAGGCCATCTATGCAAACTCTGATAATTTGGCGGACTATTTGGAGGATACTGGCATACATGCAATTGCATTATATGATTACCAGGCAGCTGATGATGACGAGATATCTTTTGATCCCGACGATGTCGTTACGCACATTGAGAAGATCGATGATGGCTGGTGGCGTGGCCTGTGCAAGAACCGTTACGGCCTCTTTCCTGCCAACTATGTGCAAGTTATTAATCAAAGCTCCTAATCAGCAAATACTTCCATTTGAAATTATTATCAGGAACAAAATCAAATTATACACTAAATATTTAATACAGCGAAGAAACCATGTTGAATCAAAATACTGAGTCATAATTTACAATATAAAAACTCACTTGCAACTTAGAGAGGTTGATTGAATTAACAAATTATTGTAACTTTTCGGGTTTCAGCAACGCTCTCTAATGTCACATGCAATTTATATTCCATTATATATATATATATATATATTTTATATATTTATCATCATTCATAATCGATTTTTAGAAATGTTTAACATGTTTATTTACATTCTTCTGTATTTTTGTGCGTATTTTTGAAAAAATATGCTAAAATCATAATTATTTATAGTCCCTTTATACTACTAGCAGAAGCTGTTTTATTTTAAATTGTTCAAATTTTTAAATAAATGTAATTGTATGTGTTTTGGAACATGTCTGAAATGTTTAAGTAAATGTGTCAAAAGTATGCTCACTTGTATAAAGTTTATAAATGTTTTCATTAAGAATGTTAGACAAGAAAAAAGTCTGTTTTATTAATAAAGAAATGCAAAATAAAGTTTATTAGTAACTAAAAAAAAATTTACTATTATAAAACTCAAACTTGTTTAATGAATATAATTTTTCAATTCATATCAAATATTTATTTTAGAGCTATCGCGAAGTAGGATACGATATGGGTGTAAACACTTAGTATGTATTTATTTCTATATTTTTCATTCATTTGTATATCGGCATGATACGGCTTTCATCAGTTGTGAAAAGAGTGAATCATATCTGGACAAAGAAGCATGTGACTGAATGAATTAAATGGCGTTCTTTTACATTCTACAAACAAACTTATAGACTACATGCATACATATGTACATACTTATATAGCGGTATATCTGTGACACAATATTTACGATTATATATAATTTAAATGGAACTTTGATAAACTAAATTATTATTGGTATTGATATGGATCTGATCAAACAACTGTTAGTGCAAAATAATTGAGAGTTGTTGCCTAGTAGATGTTGAGGGGGATTATGATAACAAGTGCGTGCATCAAAAAACGTTTCTGCTATCAGTATGAATTGTCTGTCAAAATGATTCCAGACAACCCAGATATAATATATACGTACATTTAAATATAGACTTGGAGAGAGACAAGCAACATGTATTGTTAAGCCCGCTTAGTGTTCCAGCAAGTATTCCGTTACAAATATTCCGCTATCAGTAAACACTTCAAAGCAATCCCACAATTCGCATAGGATCTTGTAAAACATTGTAAATATTGATAAGTACAATGTATGTAATATCGAATAGAGCTTGTCTGTGTGAATCCTTTCCTGAGAAGCGTGAAGAAAGTAACCAATCTAAAATTCCCCTATCGGACGCGACGGATTTGCTCTCTCACACATGCATACGCACGTAATCAGTCTCTTTGGTGGAATTGCGCTCAGTATACTATGTATGTATATTTTATACATATGTATATATATAAAGAGGCAATTGCTAACTTCGGCAGTCAGTCACTCGACGTCAAACGACGACGACGGAGCTCACGACTGTTAATGCAAACAGCTTCTCGCTTGGACTACATAAATCGATGTATCGATATATTTATTGATAGCACATATCGCTGATTGAGTCGAATTTGTTCAACGTGTGAACAGCTGATATTTTTTGTGTAAATAGCCTAACCGTAAGTGCGAATGAAAAAGAAAGTAGTGGGTGCGTGAAAGAAGAATCAACAATGACAATATTGCTCAACATAAATTAAGAGAAAACAAAGAAAAAAAAAAAAAAAATATATAAAATATAATTAAAACAAACAAAAAGTCGAGTTGTATATGTTGCGCGTACGATTGATTGAATAGAACTCTCGCAAAATTAACAATTGTTGAGTGGCAGACGCTACTCAAGTTTTGACGCTGGCAAATCGTTCCACAAGCTGAGCCGAACAACAAACGGTCAACGTCACCGAACTTGTAATTGGTTCCAACACACAAAGAGGAATTACGTACAATCGGCTATGTATTCCTGAGAATTAAACTGCTATTTTGTTCGCTTTGCGGCTCTGTGTTAAATTAGTAACTGCATTTATTTACTACTACAAATAATCTAAAACGACGTAGTGTAGTTGTTAATAGTATAATCGTTTCTGCCGCCTACCAATCGTCGAGCTGTCGCAAGTATGTGTTGCTAAAATAAATTGTTTCTTAATAATTTTTTATTTGCACACCATGTTAGAGTTAATTGAAGAATATCCCATTTGCTACTTGCTACTTGTTCACATCAAATGACTTTTGCAAGTGTTTTTTTTTTTTAATATTATTTTAATTTGGTTACTTACACATGTTGGTTTAATGTGCCTCTGTGTGAGTGCGAGAGTGATGACAACTGTTCAAAGAACACTTTAAAAAACACGCATACACCGGCTAACTAGAGTTAAAAAGAAAGAGATATTACAGCGCGAGAAGATAGTGGAAGTTCAATTAGAAGAGAGTTCCAGCTTCAATTCCCTTACAAAAGTTAGTCATTTTTACTCACAAAGTGTAGCCATTTCAAGTAAAGAAACTAAGTCTACAATGTAGACTTACATATTCAAGCTGTCTTCAGTGATGGCATCTCGTAGAGGGTATTTAAGGTGCGTTAACTGATATCGTATTCAGTCTGTGCTGTGGCTGCGTAGCAGTTACCAGGCCTTCGGCTGTTTGGAGCTGTTTAATAATTTATTATGTTGATAGGCATTGCTCTAATCTGGAATATCATACCTGAACAATAGAACAAATTCTCAAGTGTATAAAATGAACACAATCATTACGGTAATGAATATGTGAATTTAAAAATTATTTAATTCAGCTTTTTAGCTGCTATTGTTCTCAAGTGCAGGAAAATGTCAATCAATAATTAAATATGACTAGAATAAAAAAAATAAAAAATTGTTATAAAAAAAAAATTGTTTAATAATTGTTAACTAATAATTATCTAACTATTTATTTAATATAAATATGCTCTTTAAATAGCATGACATGCTTTATATATACACTTCAATATTTATACACACATATAAACACATCTAAGTAAACATTTTAGCTTAAGACACAAAGAAATGGTAACCAAAATATATATTTGAAATGTACAAAAATAGAAAGTATGGTATTAAATTTAACCATGTTAGAATGCTATACTAAAATAGTGAAAATATGTCACAAATTGTTGATAGCTTGTTAGTTGATTTACAAGTGAATATTATGCATAGGTTCAAGTTTGTTGATACACTTATCGGTATTTATGAACCCAAGTTGATATGATAACTGGCATTCGTATTTGCTTCGCCAACTGTATAAACAATGTTGTATATAGACAAACAAAACATATGTGTTCCACTGAACTTAACAGATGGAATTGTCACAATTCACCATAAATGAAAATCCTTTACTCAATTGAGTGAGCAGCCGAGGTCTTAAATTGGCGCCAAACATAATTAGACAATTCAACGATTCGATGAAGCGATGTGGAAGGCAGCAGCAGCCGTAACAGCGGCGCAACGTTTTGTCAAGGTGAACCAGACAACACCTCGTGTTTCCAACTAGCTCTATACCTGCCCGCGGCACCTACATATTGATATATATTTATATATACACAAATGTTCAAGATGTGCTGAGCTCGGCCATAAAATGTCTGTGCGTTTGCTTTAAAGCCGCAGAAATCAGCGATAAAGCTTATGCATAAACTTTTTAAGTTGAAAAAAAAACAAAAAAAAAAAACGATGTATTAAGTGTATGTAACATATTTGCTTTTTTAGCAGGTTATTCACCTGTGCAACCTGTGCAACAGGTAACCATAGTCGTGTTGGTATGTTTTCCTTTTGTTATTGTTGATATAAAGAATTTTCGAATTATCGGCGAACACAGCTGGAATAAGGGCCAAAAATACCCTAAGACAGAGTTTCGCAAATTTCTTTTATTTGTTTATTGTCTTATTCATATACAATTTCGTTATTAATTATAACAATAAAAACAATTCTCGAATTTATTTACTGATTGTGCTTAAGTGTTTACTCAAAATTCTTATCAATCAACATTGAAAAACTTCAATAATCTAATTGAGGCGGAACAGACGCAAAATATTTTTAGTTTCCTTATGCGTTCTTACAGTGAAGCTTTGCTGCTGTGGAAGATCACTCCATACACATTCTGCTACTACATTTAATATCAGCATATTAATAAAGGTGATGACCAAATGCTGCTTTAGTAATTATTATGTAGTCTTATCTATATCAGTAATCCAACGTCTGTTTAATGTAGTATATCTTAAATAGAAATATATTTAAAGTAAGTTTTTTAGTGTTCGGAGAGAGAATAGAGGGTATTTCCAAGTCGACGCTGTTCAGCAGTTCCGACTTCTTTATTACTTGGTCATTACTTTTTCTATCATCTCATTCTATTTGTGTCGCATATGTTTCAAATGCAGATAATAACAAAATTATGGTATTCGTTAATTTTTTATTTGTTTGCTATTCAGATTTTGATAATATAAATGGCGAAGTACAGAAGGAAATTGCACAATAAAATTAGTATGTGCGAATTATATGAAAGCAATGTTAATTTCAGGCAACTGTTTTATTTGCTTATGTTAGCAAAAAAATTGTGTACAAATATTATCTATTTGAGTATTCAAATTGCAAAGCTGTTTGCGAAGCGTCACGTGCTGAAATGTAAACAAATATAGAAAACTATAATTTATGTGGACGCATTTTGTAATTTTCTGCTTGATCAGGGCCACTAATTGAACTTGTCACGCACAAGTGTTAAGTAAATAAAATACAGTAAATAATCAATTTAAATATTTTATGTTTTCTTAATACTGTTGCAGCATGTCTTCAAACGAGGGTTATCACAATAAAATAGAGCCAGGCGGCGGGTCCGCTGGTGATGAACAGTCCTCAAGCTCGGGTGCGCGTGGCAGCCATGGAAGTGCCGCAAGTGCCGCAGCGGCAACCAGTACGCAACTGCATCAGCAGATACTGAATGAGAATACATATCTGAAGGCCTCGAAGCAGGCCTACTTCAGCGATGAGAAGGTGCTCATACCCG